AGCATAGAAATAGAAGACAGAAGAACAACCATGTTATCTATCCTGTATATACATACATACAGAATTTCTCCTTCTTTCCCTTCTCTTTTCCCACATCCCGGAAGCCCTTTACTCTTCAGCGGTTTCCTATCATTTCACAGTGTCTATCATACTAAGATTTCTCTTAGTTCACTGAAAACTAATTTCTAATTAGTTTAATTTCTAATTTCTAATTAAACTAATTGAACTAATTTCTCTTAGTTCATTGAAAAGAACGATTTATGTTAATGTTGTTTGGACAATTAAATGCATACATCTTGTCCTCTGATTATTTTAAAGATAATAATACAAAATGTATTCATCATTGCTATCTTCCTATTATCTTGTTTTGAAATTTTGTTTTATTTTTTTCCCTTTAAAATAAAATAAATTTGAAACCTTTTCTTCTGAGTATTCAACAATGAAACCAATGCCTGTTTTAAAAACACAGCAGCAGGTCTGACTCTCTGCTGAGCACTGAGAACTTTCATGATTCCTTGTGGCTTCCAGCATCCTCTGTGTCATCCATCCGTATCCCTCATCACATCCCCCACACCAGCAAGACATCTCATGACCCCAGAGTGTGTCCACATCTCTAACTCCCTATCCTATGCCTCCGCCATTCCAACTTCCATCCCTCTTTCTGCTCATTTGATTCCCACAGCCAACCTTGGCCCACAGTCCCAGAAAGTGTTATCTTCCCTTTTTGGTATGGACAAGTTAACAGGACACATCAGAGGAAGCTCAAATCTCCTCAACTTGTGGATATTGCATGGAACCAAGTAAACACTTTATCCAGCTCATTCTTGCCTTTTGGTATGTACAGTTTATACTCATCCCTACTTCCCAGGAGAAACAAGGTGAGCCTTAGTGTTACAGCGACTACGAAGAAGAAAGAAAACTCAACCAAGTGGGAAGAAAAGACATGTTACTACTGCAGGCTGAGGCTGGAAGTTCTTATGGCCCCATGAAATTAAGCTGGGCTTAAGCCTCCTTCCAGACAAGGAAAGTCGGGCTTTGGTTCTTCACAAGCTTATGCTGAGCACTGGATACTCAGGTCTGAATCCAGGTCTTAAAAGCACAGGGACACAAGACTGGATTGCCTGGTCTCCAAGAGTTCCCATCAGCAACTATTATATCCAGCCTAGGGCTGAGGCCTAGTAGCAGGAACACTTACAAGAACAGAGACAGATTGACCACCTGATGACTCTCCAAAGATGGTCACAGAGCCTGGGTTCCCTCCAAAGCTGGCGATGTTGTCCTGCACCCAGCGTAGTGCAGCCACCTGGTCCAAGTGACCCCAGTTCCCCCGGCTGTGTTCGTCTCCTGTGCTGCAAGAGATAGAGTGGGAGAAGGAAACAGAGCCATCACAGTGGTGTTCTCCGGAACTGAAATGGTCCGGGGAACTCTCAGTCTTCCAAAATGAGTCTGGGCTTTGCATGCCAGACCCAATTGTGACTCCTATAGCAATATTGTTTGGAGAGCTCCACACTGATTCTTCTAGTTGCTGCAGACTGAACATCTACTGAGTATCCAAAAGTAATCTAAGGACTTAATCACATATGGAAACAAAACAGCCAAAAATCTCCAGCTACACTCAGCTCACCCTAGAGACCAAAAACAAGCAAATGAAAAGACAATATATTGTTAGATGCTGAAAGCAATTTGGGAAGAAATAAGCCTAGATTAAAAAAAGTACATGGGACAGTGTGATGATATTTTGGATCTTATGACCAGTGAAAGCTTCTTTGCAACACTGGAATTTGGTAGAGATCTGAGTAAAATAAGCACAAGGGTCTTGTAATTATTTAATGAAAGAAATTTCATTTAGGAGAAATAGCCAGTGCACAGAGCTCAGGGACAAGTGAACAAACTAAGGGTACCTATTGTGAGATGCACTAGAGAGCATGCTGTGGGCCTTGGCGAGGACTTCTGTGTCCTAGTAAGTAACCTGAGAGTCCTCCTCAGAAGCATGATGTCATTCTAGCTGCCTTGCCTGAGCACTCTGGCTATTGTACAAAGCAGTCATCATGCAACAATAACAGGTTTATAAAATAGTGCTTGAGCACTCTGGCTATTGTATGAAGCAGTCATCATGTAAAATAACAGGTTATAAACCAGGACAAGTCACAGGCCTTGGACTACAGTGCAAGCAAGAAGTAGGTGTGAAGTAGTTGGACAAACATATTTTAAAGTTACAGCCAAAAAGATTTTCTGACCAAGTGGATGTGAGATAGAAGAAAGAGAGAAGAGTTCAATCTACCCAGCAACCTTTTATCCTGAGCAACAGGGAAGATGAAAGTGCTGGTGGCTGCACAGGGCATTTTATGGGAATGGAAAGAGTCATTGTTGAGGGAAAAGTAGTGGTCCTTAAGGGCTGTCTGAGGTAGTGAACACTATAGTCTGACTATGCAGAGTCGGAGGCATTCAATAGACATCCAAGGGAGATGTGAGAAAGTAGCTAAAAATGACAGCATTAAAAGACAGGTGGAGACTAGAAACAAGGAGCTGTGAAAGTGCTGCTAGGGTCACTCAAGAATTAGAGGGGGAGAGACAGAGGACTGAGGATGGGGGAGAAAAGGGGATAAAGGGGCTAAGAAGGAGCAGTCGGGAATTGGGAGGTGGTCAGAGCCAGGAGAATGAAGCAGTTCAGAGCTGAGAGAGGGGCTGGTGTGGCTAAATCTGAGCAACCCAGTGAGCCAGTTCTGAGCGCAGGTGGAGGTCTCTGTTGGTCTCTGTGAGAACAGCCTCGCAGTGGGGTTAGTTGAAAATCTGTCTCAGCAAGCATTATCTGTACTACCTCTGTGAGGCTGCCCCTCCTAACTTGCCCAGAAGAAGTACAGCACTTAATTACCCTGCTGAATGCTCACTCCCATCAAAGAAGGACACTTGGGGGAAAGAGGGACTTTTCTCAGTATTGCTGGGCACTGCGATGCAACACAGGTGAAAAGGAGTTGAATATTTCAGAGGCAGTAACATGAGGGCTTAGTAGAGCAGACATCCTAGGGACAGGGATTCAGACCGTGTAAAAGCTCAAAAGCAAATAGACAGGTATAACTGTCAATGGAAAAGATCACTGAAGCCCAATAATGAAGGGACTGGATGTATTATTAAGGACCATAATAAAAGATGTTCTTAGAGATGGCATGACTGCAGCCAAGACCTCATACCTTTGATGTGACAAATACTTAGGTTTGGTTGACATGTAGATTGTTTCTCAAGGGTTCATGTGCAAAAGGCTTGACCCTAATGTGTTAGTATTAAATGCTTATAGAATCTGGAAAAGGTGAGGCCTAGGGGGAAGTGAGTAAGTCATAAATGCTGCTATCCTTGGAAGACAATCAAGTAGCACTCATGAGATAGCAATTTGTTCCCAAAAGAGTGAGCTGCTATAAAAGAGGAAGCCTGGCTCAGACTATGCCCTATGCTTTCTGTTCTGTGCAGTGACCAATTCTGTATGCTGAAGATTCACTTTCAGATTTCCATCACACTATCCCAGAGCCAAGGGGCTGTCAGCAAAGACAAATCCAAGGAAACCTGATGCTGAAATTAACAAAATAATTTAGTGTGTTTAAATGATTATTCAGTCTCAGGTACTTTGCCATATCACCAGAAAACAAACCAATACAGAAAGGAATACACAGAGACAAGAGTCCAATACCTTACCTGAAGAATCCCCAGATACCCAGGCGGAACTGAATGGTCACCACCACCACATTCTCATGGGCAGAGAGGGCCAGCCCATCATAGGTTGATGCTGCACCCACCGCAAGACCACCTCCATGGATCCACACCATCACCTGGACAAAGGAGACACAGCCACACTGATTACAAAAAATGCTATTGGAAAAGACTTCAGGGATATTCTGACTCAGTCACTTACAACATCATGGCTGTGATTCAAGAAGGCCATTAGACAAAGTCCATCACTATCAACGATGTTGCAAAAGGTGGTCTCTTTCCTCCCCAAGTCTCCAGGATGGGCCAGGCAATCACCCCACTCAATATCCACCACTTTCCCTATCTTTCTCCACAGACCTATGTGCCATCTCCTGCCAAGGCTCTTCAAAATGAGAAAGTCATGAAAGGTACAGAAAAAGCCAAAGATACTGTAACCTCCCCAACACCCCATCGTATTCATGCCTGGACCATGCAAATGTCTGAATATATAGAAGGGAAAGAGGAAGCGCTTGTATTTCAGCTTCATCTCAGTTAACTCTTCAGTGGGGAATTATATTTCCTGGGAAATCTCAAAAATTAAGAACACTGTCAGTGCACTATCTTCCTACCATGTCTCCACTTTCCCTCCTCTAGAGCCTGAATCCTATTACCCTCAGCATAGCCCGACCTTCACCTCCTGCAGGAAGACCTCAGAGTCTAACAACAGGTGAAGATCTACTGTGTATCTGAGACTGTGATAAGAATTGAAAATGACAGTACAATAAACAGAACAATTCATAAGTCATGTTCTTGCATTTTACAGTTCACATACAGTTAAATAGGAAGAAATGAGAGTGGATAAAATAGCTTTGTAATAATATTGTAATAAAAAGAGCATATAACATGAATTATATACCAATAAGTGTTCTCAGCACTGAAATATTACTTATCCAAATAATAGGTACTAATAATGTCCCATCTGACAGAACTAGGACAATTTATTGCCCAAGATCCTACAGTGAATAAGTCATATCAGCAAGTCTTGACCAGGTAATCTGTCCTCAGACCTCATGTGCTAACCTGCCTTCCCCCTGACGCAGCTCACAAGTACAGCACAGTAACCCGGTTGTTATGACAAGAGGAAGATCCTTCTGCAGCGCTACCCAGTGTATGAGCAGTGCTTGCTCTGCGTACTCAGCCCAGAGTGAGTAAGCCTGACAGTCATCACTGCATACTGTTATGTAATTATTCTCATTTGAGGAAATAGACATTGAAAGAATTTTAGAAATTACCCAAGGCTCTAGGCCAGTCAAAGACAGATTCAGGTTGGAACTAAGATCCAGTAGTTCTAGAATATATTCATGTTTCCAGGCTTCCAAAGCCTTTTTTCTCCTGCAGCTCTGTTGCTTGCTTTTCTCCAGTGTAGGGACTTCACTCAGCTCTGAATGATGGGAGATACCAAGGGTTCTTAAGAAATGATATGCTGGAGAATTTAGGATGCACCTTTTTCCCCCACCCCAGGGCAAGATCCTTCAAGGCAGGGCTGAGCGATTCCCTTTGCCACCTCATGGACTGTGGACTTCATCTTTTCCAACATGGCCTCCCCCACCATCTGATGCACGCCTGCAGTAGACCTCACCTCTGGTCATCAGCCTGTGTCATATGCAGTTACAAAGGCAAATACACTACAGTAAAATGTGTAGCTTTGTCAACCCGACTTCATTGCCATGTATGTTGCATTCAAAGTCCCAGGTTGCTGAAACTCATGTGTTGACCAGTGGTGCCATGCTTACCGGGAGACTGCTTTTCTTCCTCACATCCACAGGAGTGTAAATATTTAAATACAGGCAGTCTTCAGAATGCCACAGAGAAATGCTCTCCTTCCTATTGGTATAGAGATCATTGAGCTCCTGGCTCCTTTCTGGATTTTGTGAGCACCTGGGAGGGAAGGAAAAATACCTGAGGTTTAACGAAGTGGAAATGGCAAATGGTCTTTCTGTCTGGACCTTGTACTGAGATATTTAAGCTTCACTGTAGATCACCAGACTGGAGTGATTGCAATAGGCAGAAGGAAACCTGAGGGCTTGGTAAGATCCCTGGGACTTGAGAATCTCCACAGATCATGCAGAATGAGAAGGACTTGGCATCTCTACCCTTTCCATAACCTCTAGGATGCACTGATCCAGGGACAGGGTTTTGCCCATGTGCTGTTCTTCCCTAGGGGATATTTCCTGTAGAACCATTCTCTGCTGGGCTGCACGGTAACTGTGTTCGTCTACCAAGTAATCATGTTCCCATCCTTAATAGACTTCCTTCAAGCAGAACTCTGTCCAATGTAAGAAATTATGCTCAGTAGTTCAGGGATGAAGCTTTGGGGATAACTTCAGGAAAACTGCATTTCAGGGCTGCCTCAGCCATAAATGTCCTGGTTGACCATGAGTAAATCCCTTTCTTGCTTTGAGCCCAATCTGCCAGTTCTGTAAGGATCCTGCAGCCCTGCCATGCTAACAGTCCCTCATTGCTCTGCCCCAGGCCACCACTGTAGGCTCCCTTGATAAGAGGTCTCTAAGATCCAATATAGATTATAACCCACAACATATTCTGAGCTTCCCATTGTTCCAGGGACAGTTTTAACTTCCTCTCATGTACTAATTGATTTAAGCCTCACAGAATCCATCCCTAGCACCCCTAAGATTCTTTTCTTATCCCTATTTACCAGGTAGGAAAGACAAGGCACAAAGGAGTTAGAGAGCCTGCCAAGGATTGCATAGCAGAGTGATCCACGCTATGCCGTGCTTATTTTCCCAAGTACACTATACACCACACTTCCACTTCTCAATGGACTCAGGTGGTAGAATTGCTGCCTACAAGAAGTAGAAGAACTGAGGCTCTCAAGTAACAGTTGAGACATCAGTTAACTAGCAAAATGGACAAAGGAAAAATCAATTATGAATTCTATACTGGAGAGTATTTCTAAGATCACCAAGAAAACAGGACATCATATACATAACAACACAACTAAAATTTCAAAAGTAAGAAAGAGTTCCATTTCACTACTATTTATAGATAAATACCCAGCCAAATTGGTCTCAAGAGAGAAGAGATCACAGTGCTACCTCCTATCTACATCACCTGTTCAACTACTTTTTCTTCTGCCAAAGCACATGTCCTACTTTAACTTATTCCAAATTCACTTTTTGCTTTCTATATTGGCTCTCATCTCTCTACCCATTGCTGGAAAGTTCTGTTCTCCAATCAACTCTAAGAATGTAGAACATACTTGGCACACAATAGGTGTTCAATAACTGTGTGCTGAATAAAAAAGGTCTAGAAAAGTACAATATCATTCTAGAATGTTTTAAAGGTTCCTGATAATTCCAGAACAAAGTAGAGCCAATAATCATATTGCCTTTACTCTTTCCTACATCACTCTGAGAAAAACATCCCACTGAAAGATGCCAAAGCTCCCCCTCCAACTTACATGGGAGGGTAAGAGGTGGTATTCTTCACATAGTTCCATGGATCTGGAGGCTGTGGAGGGGCAAACCTCAGGGATCCCAGAGGGGGCTTGGCAAAAGGGACTCCCAAGAATATGGCCACAGGCTTTGCAAATCCTTCCAGGCTTACATATTTTCCCAGGACTTTGCCATACACGGTGTCCACCACAGGTGGTGAGGATGTGTGTCCTGCTAGACATAGAGAGAAAAGAGAACACATCAGAGAGGAAAAGTGAGGCCATGCTCCAGGTAGGTTTTTCCTCCTTCTGGGCATGTGGCCTTGACTAAGTCACTTAAACTCTCTGGCCTCAGTCTCTTCTTAGTATTATGGGGATGAGGAATACTGTCCTTCCTAACCTAGAAGGATAATTGGAGGAGTAAAGTAGAACTAGAGGTGGAAAACAATCACCCCAAAAGGCATTGAAAAAGCAGAGATTATGCTGGGGATGAATGAGGCCTTTTGTGTCCCACTTACAAGCCTTGTTAGAGTGTACTCAGCATCCTGGTGCTAAGCTGTAGCTAGATGGTGGGATGAAAATGAGAGGATCCTGTTCTAAAGAGACTGACATCATAGGGTAAAAAGCCACAGAGCAACTTGGCATAACGCTGGAAAGAAGGAAGTGTTGTCGTTGGAGAGGAATGAAAAAGGTGCTACATGATTGAGAAGAGGGAGCGAGGCCTTCAGCTTGGTGGGATCACAGAGAAGCTGGGATTGCAGCAGGAAGAGAATGAATAACTGAGGATGGAAGGGGAGGGGTGAAGCAGGAATAAGAGAAAGTGCAGAGACCCAGAGATAAAAAACACAGACCCTGAGCGGCCTAGGAAAACCACAGTATGGAGTCTCTGGGCAGTGGACGATCATGGTGAAATACGCAGGTGAATGGAATGAAGGCCTATGAAAACAGGCTGAGGGACTGGCTTCTATTCACTGGGCTAATTAGAGCAGGAAAAGCTCTGAAGTAAAGGACACAATACACTTCTACAACATCCTCAGGTGGCTGGAAGTGGGTTGCTTAAGAGGACTGAAAGTGTCCTGTCTGTTCTGTCCGCTCCATTCTTGTAGAGCAGAAAATTCTTCCTCACCTCCCTGCCCCTCCTCTTCACTCTTGGTCTCCCCTGCCACGTGTCCAGTGTCAACTACCCTATCATCCTTCTTGTGGTGGGTAGACTCTGAGACCCTTCACTACGGATACCCTCTGGAGTCTTCTCTTCTCTTCTCTGGCCTCCATAACCTCAGCATGTTGGAGTCTTGCTCACAGGACATGATTTCGAGCCCCTTGTCCTCCCAATCTGCTGCTTTTCAAACAACCATATGTCAGTGTGTCCCTAAAATTGCCTAACCAGGAAAGACAAGAATAAGATTTGTTCTCACATAAGCATAGGCAATAACACTGAAAATTCTTTTGGGGAAACCGGATTACAAATTAACGAGGTTATTAACAATGCCATGTTTATTTCCTTTTGTTTTCTTATTTTACTAATCCCCCAAAGGTATATTTCTGGTAAACAGTGCACATGGAGATGTTCACAGCTTGAGACACTGCAGGTTTCTTTCTCTTTGGTCATTCAAAGATGTCCATGTTGGAGATCGGCTCCTTTTCTTTAACAAGGAAAAAATGTATAAAGTGATATGGAGATGGAAAGGAGGAATCATGAAGAGGTCTTGGAACTTGACAATGTGGGGGCAATGGACAGCAAAGGAGGGCACTGAAGAACAAATATGAGATGCTGGCTCCATGTGAGGCAGGTTCAGTGGGGCAGTCAGTGAGAATCCTGGCTAGAAAATGCCATAGCACGAGGGCACCACAGGAGTGGAAGGAAGGGGTCAGACGCAGGCAGAGGCATTTGCCTCAAGAAGAGGGAGCACATCACAGGTGTGTGACTTCATTACAGACCCGTGTGAGACAAGAGAACAAGCTGAAACTAAAGCTCGGAGACAGCTGCCGCTGAGACAGAGCACCTGCCAGAGTGGAGCAAGAAAAAGGCACAGTGTCAGAGCAGCCCAGGAAGGAGGAGGGATTGGCAAGAGTGCTGAGTGCTTCAAAGAGGTCAGAGCGGGGAAAGTCTAAGCAGAAATCACTAGGTGTGGCCTGTGTTAGCTCAGTGAAGTCTTTCACCCTAGATGAATTGGGTAGAACCCAGTGATAACATTTACAAGGCCCAGGGTAAAAATGTGATTGAGCAAAGTGAGAGAGATAAATAAAAATGGTCACAAAAGGGTCACAAAATTTATCACTTATGTCAGGTAGTATGTGCAAATGTTGAACTCTTTTCTGTGTGACCCTGAAACTTTCTGTACATTATTTTGTCTTTAAAAAAAGAAAAAAAAAAAAAAAAAACCTTTCTGTATAAGTGTTAATATGCTCACTTAGCACATGATCAAACAGAGTTTGGAACTGGTCCACACAGGCTTCCTAAAAATGGAAATACGTTTGCACGTCCAGGAAAACCAGCAAAAAATAATGCTTTGCTCTCACTCTGAGTGCCTTCTTTTACCTCTGTTCCAGGTCTCTCCCTGTGTCACACAGCCAGAGAAGGTACAATCTAGACAATCAGGGCACTGATGTCTGAGCACTGGTGTGACTTCAGGAGTCAGAGATAGACCATGGCATGATTTTCCACCTGACCTTGGCAGAGTACATGGCTTTGTGAGTCTCAAGTTCTCTGTCTATAAAGTGGCACAGATGTATGCTCAGGTGCCTTGCGATAGCCCTGAAATACCATGGATTTATTTTCTGTATCTGATGAATTGAAAGCTTTGCTGATCCTGCATGTACTGTCACTCCTAGGGTGCAGTCAATCTGTGGGTGACACCCCAACCATCTCTTATATCTGGTTCTCAGACCCTGGGTCAACATGCACCTGCCTCAATCACCCAGATCCAGGGTCCATGCAGCTAACACAGCCCCCATGCCCCAACTTCCAATAACACAATTCCAGCTTTCTCTGCATCTTCTCTTCCTTCTGGTGGAATGCACATCAAAGCCGCTTGCCCCAGTGCCTCCCCTCACTCCTGGCCTCCTGAAGTATTGTATGCTTTTATTTGAGGTCTGTGCTCCAGTGACATGACCTGTCCTTTGGGACCTGTAACGTGTTGCCCTTTCAGGGGCCAATGGATCATGATCTGCTTTACCACATGCTATATTTCCTATTAATACACTCCATTTTAAATCAACCCCTTTATCCCTTCCCCACATCTCTTCTGACTAGCACCTTTATACTGATATAGAAACAACAACCCATTTCACACTCACTGTAGCCCACTAAGATAGGAACCACTCTCAACCCTATTCTAGAGATGGACTGACAGAGACACTGTACAGCTAAGGAACCTAGCATAAAGGCAACCAGCTAAAAGGGCTGAGCTAGGATTCAGACACCCATTCTGGTTCCTTAGTCCATGCTTTTCATGTTCTACTGAGCCACCTTCAGGATCGGGCCAGATCTGGAAGTCATGGGAAAAATAAACTCATCTCTCATACTTTCTCTTGGGTGAAGCTAAATGTTATTTCCTGTCCTCTTGTGTCTGATGCCTATAGCTGGGTCTTAGCTTATTCATCTTCTCCTGATTTTCCTTGTAGTTAGGATGATTCCATGTCTAGGTTCATGTCCAGAAAGTGACCACATGGTGAAACCAGACCTGTCATGGTTTTGTTCTTTGCATATCTTTACCCACTTCAGCTCAGAATAAGGACTTGTAAATGTGCCTCCCATCCCCCACCCTCCATTTGCCTTTAATTATGTTTCAGAAGCACTTACCCCAAGCTGTGCAAGCAGCAAGACAGGCCAAGACAAGCACATGAAGCTGCATCATGTAAGGACAGCAGCTCTAGGGCCGGTGTGTTCCTTCTGCTCCAAGGGAATACACTGGTCTTGCCTTAAAGCTGAGGACTGCTCAGCCTACCTAAACTAATTGACTAATCTAAACCAATATTTTTTTTTCCTCTTCCAAAGACCTTCCTAGCCACGCCTACTCAGACTTTACCCTCTTATCTGAACAGTTCATTCCCAGCTCTCAGGTTACAGGCAGCCACAAATTCATCCAGTAATTTCTTACATAGGATTTTCTCCTCTGCAGGGCTCTTAACTTCTGTGCACTTTGAACTTCCTAAAAGGAGCCACAGGTAGCAGATTCCTTCAGACTATGGGAAGCTTTGGTTTGAGGTCCTGAGAACAAACTGGAAAGTTTTCTCTCAACTCTCAGCCTTAGAGTGGCTGAGGGGCAGAAGCAGACCTGACCTACCTCTTAGCTGTCCTGGGTTACTTTCCCCCAGATTTCTAGGCTCTCACATTTTGGAAGAAATCATAAATATCATCCAGTCCCATTCTGATTCTTAAGGTAGCTTTGCAATATTCCTTCCAAGTGGCCCTGCCTGCTGCCACACACATAATCAGGTTCAAGGAACTCACTTTCAGAGTGGGGGTTGTTTTAGAGAGAATGTTCTTACATGAACGCATTGTTCCAAAGTCCTTGGCTCTATTCATCCATCTGTTGTGTCAGCTGGTTCTGGCCTCTAGGGGTCCCCAGACTTGGCCTAGCCAGGTTTGTCTCTGTCTCTTACATTAAAAGTTGAAGAGGAGTCAGAAAAGACCAGTGGAAAGCAAAAGTAATTTTATTGTAGGTATTGCAAGAAAAAGTGGTAAAGATCCAGGAGTGTCAGAGCCCAGAGTTGGGACACCAAGGATTCTGAGGCTGCAGTCCTATTTGGGGGTAGGTGCTCCACCTCCATCCCTTCAGAGGGTAACTACTTGATTGGTTATTGGTCTTGTTAGCAGTGGTCTGAGTTTGGTTGGGTATAGAGGAATTTTCCAGCAACTAGTTTGCAACTCATTTTGGGAGAAGTGACCTGCTAGAAGGGAGAATTAAAGGAAGAGACAATAGATTATATAAACATAAATTATTCACAAAAGTGAAACCTCAGCCTGTGAGCTCCATTGTTTGCTGTGACACAGAAGCCATGTCTCCTCTGCTCCTTTAAGGGCCTGGTCCCTTATCTAACTCTAGATCGAGGGAGTCTCTACTGTCCCTACACATCTATCTGATATCCATTCATCCTTCCAGTGCTTACCAGAAGGTCTAGCTCTTGATAGGAAAACAAAATATGGGAAAGAAAACAGAGCAGGACTGAATTCACTATTAAGAAACATAGGAAAGGGCCTATTTTTGGATGGCTTAGTTACAGCTGGGACTTTATATCTTTGCTGTGGAGTACTGTGGCTTAGTTTACATGAGATTTTCAAACAAGGGTTCATATGCTAAAGCCATGTTCCCTAATTTGCCAGTATTAAAAGTTGATAGAACCTGTAAAAGATGAAGACTACTGGAAGGTAATTAGATAACTGGGGCTGCTTCCCTTAGACTAGGTGAATATAGAGCTCAGGATATGCTCATGAGCTACCAAATGACTGAGTTGCTGTAAAAGAGCAAGATGATCCCAGATCCTGCTCTTTTACTTCAGGACTTGTCCTGTGACTAATTCTGTGTGCAGAAGGTTCACTTTCAGATTTCCACCATGCTATGAGAGCCAAAGGCCAATCCAAAAGAATCATCTGATGTTGAAATGAACAAAATAACAGCTTATTTAAATGATTATTCAGTCTCAGATACTTTGCCATATCACCAGAAAACAAACCAATACAGAAGGGAAAACACAGAGACAAGAGTCCAATATCTTGCCTGAAGAATCCCCAGACACCCAGCTGAATGGTCACCACCACCACATTTTCCTGGGCTGAGAGGGCCAGTCCATCATAGGTTGATGCTACATCCACCACAAGACCACCTCCATGGATGCGTACCATCACCTGGACAAAGGGGACACAGTCACATCGATTATAAAAAATGCTATTGTGAAAGACCCCAGGGGTTCTCTGAGTTGATCACTTACAACAACATGGCTATGACTCAAGGAGGTCATTAGCCAAAGTCCCTCTCACTGCTTTCAGCCCTGCCTTTCTCCCCAGACTCATGTGCTGTGTCCTGCCAAAGCTCTTCAAAATGAGAATGTCAGGAAAGTTACTGTAAAGGCAAGGGGTATTGTAATCTCCCCAAAACTCCATCATGTTCATGCCTGGACCATGCAACCAGCTGAATAGGCAGAAGCTAATTATGCATGTCAGCTAACCTTTCAGTGGAGAATTTTACTTCCTGTGCAGTTTAATTATCTCAAAAATTACAAAAACCACGGTGGGCGTCACTTCCTACCATGTCTCCACTTTGTCACCTCTAGAGCTTAAGTCCTACATATCCTCCTCACCCCTACCTCACCTTCACCTCCTGCAGGAAGACTTCAGAGTCTGACTAACAATAGGTGAAGATCTACTGTGTGTCCGAGACTGTGATGAGAATTGAAAATGACAATACGATAAACAGAACAATTTATAAGTCATGTTCTTGCATTTTATAGTTCACATATTGTTAAAAGAGAAGTGACAGTGATAAAATAGTATTGCAATAATCTTGCTAATAAAGAGGATATAACATGAACTATATCCCAATAACTGCTCTCAGCACTGAAATATTGCTTATCCAAATAATACTTAATCATAATGTCCGATATGACAGGAAAATAGGGCACTTCATTTCCCCAAATCCTACAGCTAATAAGTTGTAGAAGCAAGACTTGAGCAGGCAGTCTGGCCTCAGACCTCATGTGCTAACCTGCCTTCCCCCTGACTGCAGCCCACAAATATAGCACAGTAATCTGTTAGGGCAACAAGAATATCCTTCTGTAGCTCCACTTAATGTGTTCTGTGTTTGCTCTGTTTACTCAGCCAGGACTTAGTGAAGCTTGACAGTCATCACTGAATACTCTTATGCAATTATTCTCGTTTGAAGAAATAGATATTGAAAGAAGTTAAATGTGCAAATGTTCCAAGCGATTCAAAGGCACATTCAAGACTGAAACCAAGACCCTGTACTTCTAGAACATGTTCCATAAGTAGGGGTCTCTTGCTTCCAGGCTTTCAAAGCATCTTCTCTTCAGCAGATGTATTTCTTTCTAATCTTCAGTGTAGGAGCTAAGTCACAATCATCTCTGAATGATGAATGATACCAAGGGTTGTTGAGAAATGATATGCTGGAAAATTTAGGATGCACCTGTTTTCCCCACCCCAGAGCAAGATCCTTCAAGGCAGGGCTGTATGTTCATGGTTTCTTCCTCCTTTTCCTAACCCCTTAGACTAACTGTGCTTCTAGGCACACTAAGTATGCAATAGAAGCATGAGTGAATGAGTGAATAAATGAGGAAGCATTTATCCTCAACCCCTTGTGCCTTAAAAATGCATAAAGGAACAACTTCCTAGCCCACATCCCTCCTCCTGCACTTCTGAGCTCCGTGCCCGCATTTTCAAGGAGGACTGGCTGAGTGATTCCTTTTGCCACCTCAGGGACTGTGGACTTCACCTTTTCCAGCATGACCTCACCCACTATCTAACCCACACCTGCAGTAGACCTCAACTCTGGTCTTCTGTTCTCTGGGAAATGCTGACTCACTGGGCCATCATCAGCCTACACCATATGCAGTTAGGGAGGCAAATACACTGCAATAAAACATGTAGCTTTGCCAAACTGACTTCACTGCTGTCTATGCTGCATTCAAAGTTCCAGGATGCTGAAAATCACAAGTGTTCACCAGTGCCAAGCTTACCAGGAGACTGCTTTTCTTCCTCATATTCACAGGAGTGTAAATATGTAAATACAGGCAGTCTTCAAAATGCCACAGAGAAATGCTCTCCTTCCTATTGGTATAGCGATCGTTGAGCTCCTGGCTCCCTTCTGGATTTTGTGAGCAGCTGGGAGGGAAGGAAAAATACCTGAGCTTTAACAAAGTGGAAATGGCAAATGGTCTTTCTGTCTGGACCTTGTACTGAGGTGTTCAATGTAGATCACAAGACTGGAGTGATTGCAATGGGCAGAAGACAACCTGCGGGCCCGGTGAGATCCCTTGGACTCAAGAGTCTCCCCAGGTAATGCAGAATGAGAAGGCCTTGACATCTCTACTCTTTTCATAACCTCTAGGAGGTACTCTAGGATCCAGAGGCAGGGGATTGCCCACATGTTGTTCTTCGCTAGGAGATGCTATCTCCTGCAGAACCATTCTCTGCTGGGCTACAGGGTAACTGTGTTCTACCAAGTAATCATGTACCTGTCCTCAGTAGATTTCCTTCAAGCAGAACTCTGTTCAATGTAAGAAATTATGCTCAGCAGTTCAGGGATGAAGTTTTCGGAATAACTTCAGGAGAAGTGCATTTCAGGACTACTTCAGCCTCAGATGTCCTGGTTGATTACGAGTAAATTCCTTTCTTGCTTTGGGCCCAATCTGCCAGTTCTATAAAGATCCTGCAGCCCTGCCATGCTAACATTCCTTCATCACTCTGCCCCAGGCCACCACTGTAGGCTGCCCTGTTAAGAGGTGTCTAAGATCAGCATAGTTTACAACCTGCAATGTATTCTGAGTTCCCCAGTGTTCCAGGCACTGATTTAAATCCTGTTTGTGTACTGACTCATTTAAGCCTCACAGAATCTGCCCCTAGCACAGATTCTCTTCTTATCCCTATTTTACAGGTGAGGAAGGCAAGGCACAAAGGGGTTAGAGAGCCTGCCAAGGATTGCATTGGAGACAGAAAAGAAAAAATTTCGTATCACTAATATTTATATATAAATACCCAACCAAGTTGGTCTCAAGATAGAAGAGATACCATTGGGAGAAATTAAAGATGAAATTAAACAGTATATACAATTAAATGATTATGCTGATACAACACACTGAAACTTATGGGATGCAATGAAAACAGTCCTATGAGGACAATTTATGGTGAGGAACTCTCATATCAGGAAAACAGAATGAGCTCAAATAAACAACCTAATTTTGAATCTCATACTTCCAGAGAAAGAACAAATCAAACCCATAACTCATGTGAGAGGAAATTATAAAAATAAGAGTAGAAATTAATGCAACTGAGTCTATGAGAATAATACAAATAATCAATGAATGAAAAAGTTGGTTCTTTGAAAGAAAAAATAAAATTCACAAAATATTAGCCAATCTAATCAAAAAGAGGAAAGAAAAAACACAAAGCAAAATGAAAATGGGGAAATCATAAGGGATCCTTCAGAAATCCAGAGATTATCAATACCACTATGAGAATCTGTATTATAACAAGATGGAAAATTCAGAAGAAATGGACAGATTCATAGACACAATCAAATTACCAAAACTTATTCATGAATATATAAAAATGCTAAATAGCCTGATATTAGGCAATGACACTGAAAATGCAATTAAAATCCTACCAACAAAAACAGCTCAGGCCCTGATGGATTCACTGTTCAATTCTACAAGAAACTTAGAGAACTAATGCCACCAATGCTGAAACTTTTTAAGGAAATTGAAAGGGAACAATCCTTCCAAAATTCTTTCTGGAAGCAAGCATAACACCAATTCCAAAACCAGAGAAGGACCCAACCAAAAAAAGAAAACTACAAGCCAATCTCCCTAATGAATACAGATGCAAAAATCTACAATAAGATACTGGTAAACAGATTGCAGCAAATCATCAGGAAGATTATATACCATGACCAAGTAGGATTCATCCCAGGGACACATGCATGGTTCAACATATGCAAATCAATACATGTAATACACCTTACTAATAAAAATAACATGATCATCTCAATAGATACAAAAAAAATTTGACAAACTCCAACACCCATTCATGATAAAAAAAAAAAATAACAAGAAATTGGAAAAAATGGTCTCTACCAGAATCTGATAAAAACCATCTACTACAAACCAACAGCCAATATTATACTAAATGGTCAGAAACTGAGAGTTTTCCCTTTAAAATCAGGAACAACACAAGTATATCCACTATCACCAGTCTTATTCAATACAGTTCTGGAAACAATAGCCGGAACAATTAGACAAGAGAGAGAAATAAAAGAAATAAGGATAGGAAAGGAAGTTGTTATTATTTTTTGCAGATGAAATGACACTAGACATAGAAGACCTTAAAAACTCCACCAAAACACTTGCAGATTTAATAACCAAATTCAGAAGTGTAGCTGGATACAAAGTCAACACTCAAAAATCAATAGCAATCCTATACATGGGCAGCAAATGGAGAGAGAAATTAGGGAAACCACATCCTTTACAAGAGCATGCAAAAAAACTGAAATACTTTGGAATCAATCTAAGAAAGGAGGTAAAAACTTTATATATTGAAAATTACAGTGCTCTGAAAAAGGAGATCACAGAAGATATCAGGAAATGGGAAGATATCCCTTGCTCATAGATAGGAAGAATCAACCCAGCGAAAATGACCATACTGTTATATGGCCAGAACTATTATACATATTTAATGAAATCTCAATAAAATTCCATTAGCATAATTCACAAAACTAGAGAAAATATTCCTAAAATTCATTTGGAACCAGAAGAAACCTAGAATAGCAAAAGCAATCCAGGGCAACAAAGGCAAGTTAGGAGGCATCACAACCCCTTATTCTAATTATACTACAAATTACTGTGACAAAATCAGCATAGTACTGGCAAAAAAACAGACCTGAGGATTACCAAGTTAATTTTTAACCTTTCATATTGGCTCTTATCTCTCTGCCCATTTCTGGAAAGTTTTGTTTTCCAGTGGGTTCTAAAAACTGAGAACATGCTTGGCACACAATGAGTGTTAGGTAACTACGTGCTGAATAAAAGGGTCTAGAAAGGTGTAATAGTGCTGGAATGTTTTAAAGGTTCTTAATGACTGCAGAATATAGTAGAGCCAATTAGCATGTTGTCTTTATTCTTTCCTACATCACCCTGAGAAAAATATTCCCAGTAAAAGATACCAAAGCTGCCCCTGCTACTTACATGGGAGGGAAAGGTGGTGTTCTCATGTAGCTCCAAGGCTCTGCAGGCTGTGGAGGAGCAAACCTCAGATATCCCAGAGGGGGCTTGGCAAAAGGAACTCTGAGGAAGACGGCCGCAGGCTGTGCAAAGCCTTCCAGGCTGACATAGGACTTTGCCATGCACGGTGTCCACCACAGGTGGTGAAGATGCGCGCCCTGCTGGACATAGAGAGGAAAAGAGAACACATCAGAGGGAAAAGGTGAGGCCCACACTCCAGGTGGGTTTTGCCATTTCTAGGCTCATGGCCTTCAACAAATAACCTAAACTCTTAGGCCCTCATTTCTTTCTTTAAAATAATGAGGAAAACATCCTTCCTAACAAAGGCCTGATTAAAGGGGTAAATTGGAACTTAAGAAAAAAAGCACCCAGCCAAAGTCATCATAAAAAAGATTACTGCTGGCAATGTGTAAGACATTTACTTTCCCTCTTAGGAGTCTCTGGAAATATTTATACATTAAAATCAAAATAAATGGCCCCTGTTCTCAGGATAGTTTACTCTCCAGAGAAAAAGAGCCAGAAGAATACTGGACCCAATACTGGGGAGAAAGAGGCTGTGTCTTGGGAGAGGAATCAGAAACCTACAGGATTTGAAGGAGAAAGTGAGACCTTGTGTCAATCAAGAGGAGCTGGGGGCTGGGGATTTAGCTCAGCGGCAAAGCGCCTGCCTGGCAAGCGCAAGGTCGTGAGTTCGGTTCCCGGTACCAGAGAAAAACCAAAAAAAAAAAAAAAAAAGAGGAGCTGGGACCTGAAATGAGACAAGGAGTGAACAGTGAACAGTGGGTGATAGTGGGGGGCACCAGGTGGAATCCATATGGAGTAGACAAGAATGTCTGTATGAACGAGTGCATCTCAGGGAGAGCTTTGAATTCCATACTAACGGGATTGGGTTTTGTTTGGTGGTCCTTTGAAAAGATAAACAAGGCTAATAAATCCTTACCCAAACTAACCAAATGAAAGAGATGCAAATTAATAAAATTAGATATGAAAAGGGGGCTATTGCAACAGACACAATGAAATTCAGAGGATCATTAAGAACTATATTAAAATTTATATTTCAATAAACTGAAACCTCTAGAAGAAATTAATAAATTTTTAGACACATACAACCTATTAAATTGAATCAAGAGTTTACAAAATGCATAGATCAATAACACACATGGAAGTGGTAATAAAAATATCTCCCAACAAATAAAAGCCATGGTCTGGATGATTTTTTGTTGAATATTATCAGATCATCAAAGAACTAAAAGCAAAACATCTAAAACAAGTCCATGATATAGAAAAGGAATGAATCTTTCCAAATTTATTCTACGAAACCAGTATCACTATGATACTGAAACTGTATAAAGACTAAGAAGAAAAGAAAGAAATGGATGGAGGGAGAAAGGAAGGAAGAAGGAAGGAAGGAATGAAGGAAGGAAGAAAGGAAGGAAGGAAGGAAGGAAGGAAGGAATGAAGGAAGGAAGGAAGGAAGGAAGGAAACTATAGACATATCCTGATAAACATAAAAGTAAAAATCCTAAATGAAATTATTACAAACCAAGTTCAAAAGCACATTTAAAGATTATCCACATGATCAAGGTGGTTTTATATCAAGAATGCAAGTGTAGCTCAACAAGTGTAAATCAATAAACATTGTACACCAGATAAATAGAGTGAAACATAAAAATCACATGACAATCTCAATAAAAGCAGGAAATTCTTTCCACAAATCACAACTTTATAATAAAAGTTCTAAAGACAGTAGATATAGAGGATTTTACCTCAATATAACACATACTATATGCAACAAATCCAATTGAACATAATATTAAATGGGGACAAATGCAAGTATTTTATCAAAAATCAGTAACAAGACAAAGGTGTCCACTGACATCAGTCTCTTTAATATAATCTTTGACAGTTTAGTCAGAACAATTAAAAAAGATGAAATAAAAGGAATACAAATAGCAAAGAAAGGATCCCTATTTGCAGATAGTATGATCAGAAGACCTGAAAACTTTTACCAGAGGACTTTTAAGTATGATAAGCAAATTCATCAAAGTGGCAGAATACAAAATTAACAAGTATCAATTAATTGTCTATACACCAACAATGAAGAGAAAGAATAATCAGGAAAACAATTTCAGTTATAGTAGATTCAAAGTAAGATATCTAACACTTACCCTAACCAAACAAATAAAGGGCCTCTAAAATAACTGTTACTGAATGGTGAGGAAGAAATTGAAGAAGGCACTAGAAGATGAAAAGACCTGCCATGTTCATCAAACAGCCGAGTTAACATTGTTAAAATATACACATTACTAAAAATGAATCCACCAACTCAGTGCATTCTCATCAAAATATAAATGGTATTCTTCGTAGAACTATCAAAATCCTAAAATTTGTGTAGAAGCACAAAAACAAATAAACAGAATTGCCAAGGCAATTCTGAACAAAGATAGCAAAGCTAGAAGAATCACAATGGTACCTGATTTCAAAATAACCTAAACTATAGTTACAGAAACAACATAAACTGCCAAAAATACAGACACATAGGCCAATACAATAGAGTACAGGACACAGAAACTACATAACTACAATCATCTGATTCTTGCTTGCCAAAGGGACCAAAAATATGCCTATTTTAAGGGAAAAGATAACCTCTTTAATAAAAGGTAGGAAAACTCAGTATACACATGTAGAAGAGTGAATCTAGATCTCTATCTCTAATCTGTACAAAAATCAAAACGGGTCAAATACCCAGGTGAAAGACACATAATGTTGAAAATGATGGTGGAAACACATGAAGCCTTAGACACGGTCAAATAATTCTTGAAAAGCACTTTAATAGCAAGAAATAATAGCAAGAATTTAAAAAATAGAACTACATTTAATTAGAAAGCTTCTACACAGCAAAGGAAACAACCGGAGAGAGAAAGGACAGCCTACAGAGTGGGAGAAAATCCCTCCCAGCTACTCTTCCAAAAGAGTATTATCTGGTATACATAAAACCTCACACAATTTAAAATGAAAATTAAAGCACAATCCAATCAATAAGTGGCAAGATGAACTGAACAGACATTTTTCAAAGGAAGACAGTACAAATGACCAATAAGTATATGAAAAAAATGTTCAGCAACTTTAGCCATCAAGACTACATTAAGATTCTATCACCAGTTATCAAGAATATAAAAAACAATAAACATTGCCCAGCCAGGAATCACTTGGCTCTGACCTCTTGGCATTTATCTGAGGCAAGGGATTACCAACTGCCAATGAAATAACAATGGCATAAGACAGGGTTATCTCCAGCACAGCACAATAAGGACACAGCTGGAACTTCTCCACATGTGTTCTCTATCTTACAAGCAGCTTTACCCAAAAGTTCTGAGGCCCTAGGGGACAAAGAATTTACAAGATAGATAGAGCCTAAGTCACTGACATGTACTTAGATAACAATTGCACATTAATCTACAACAAACATGCAAACAAAAAATAAATTTTATTATGCTGGAGTCCCTTTACACATTAGGCAGCCAATGTTGACAAATGCAAGCACATTACAAATAATTTACAGTAGTGATTTAGGTGATATTGTTTGTTTGGTCTCTATTCCTCCCCTGAGCAAGTATGTGCCCACTCAGTCACACACCACTTTCGTAGAATTGAGGATCAGAAAGGTAAAGTAGATTTTGTCAATGGCTGACCATTCCTCTTGGATCTTACAGACTTGGTATTCTCTGACAACTTCCAACTGTCAAGAGATTCTTTCTACTTAGGCAGTTCCCCCAGAGTGAAGCAAAGCCATTTATGCACGGCACACAGAATTCTTGGGAATTCGCAATTCTTCCATCCCCTGAAGTAGCTCTGAATTAAGCACTGACTGGAGTGGTATATAAATAACTCAGCTCCCTTCACTGGAGCATAGTATGAAACACATTTTCTTTTCCTATAGTTATCACTTGTTAATAAGCTCAGCCAAACAACTGCATAATGTTTCATTTTGGGGTGCCTTTCCTTCATTGCCTATGATTCAAACTCCCACCACTAGTTCTTGCAACTCTCAAAATAAACACATCACACTGGAATCTTTGCCTCAGGTGTCTTCTTCACAAACCTAAAGTAAGACAAATGATCTTCAAATCCTTCATCAAATGATCTATATACCCTTACTTGTATATTTAGAATTCATAAATTGAAACTCTATGTTAACCAGTATCTTACAATGTCACTGTGTTTGAAGGTAAAGTATTCAAATAGGAGATAGCACTTAAATGAATCCATCACGGTGGACCCTAACTCAATATATTTGGTATCTAAATGAAAGGAAGATTTTTATCTAATATAAAGAAGTAGTCATATACAGAGACATCAGGGGCACATGTGCACCGAAGGAGCATGTTGTGTAGAGGCAAGATAATTTCTACAAGCCAAGGAAGAAGGCCTCAGAGAAAACCAACACTGATGACACCTTGATCTGGAACTTTCACCCTTCACAGCCATAAGAAAATAAATTCCTGTTAGTTAAGCCACCCAGTGTGTGCTATATTGTTATGACAGCAAAATCAGACTAATACATGATACCAATCCCAATTCTTTTCTTCTTGCCCAGAGAAAATTAACATCCAAAGATGACAAAATACTGCTCAGGACACATTCCACCTCAATGTTAAAGTTAGGACAAGTGCTTGAGGCTTTTGACTTCTACCTTTGGAGGCTAACAACTGTTATTCAAGTTCAATACATCAGAGAGATATTTTAACCACATAACATAAACACTAACATAGGTCAAGGTCAAGTACTTTGGTTTTGTATATAAGTGCATTGTTAATTCCTTCACTTGGGATGAGAGAAGGAGAGAAGAGTTAGGAAAGCCCTGAGGAGAAGCAAGATATCTGGGGTAATGGATTCTATTTCCCATAGTCACTAGAGAAGCCTATCTTTGCCCTCAATAAACCTATATTGACATCAAAGAATATTGGGCAATCAGTAGCCATAAATCTCAGGATATTCTCAAAGAAGTTCAAAACCACAAATTCTATCTGAAACACACCTACTGGAGACCTGAATCTGTGATGGGGAAAGGTCTTTGTGACAGCATTAGAATCCATTCCCAGAGAAGATTAGATATTATAGAGTTTGGAGGGGGCTGGAGCTCCTCCCTTTTATCTAGGAGAGACACATAGTTCATAGAGAGCACCTTAGTAGAAAGTCCTCCTCTCTTTAGCCACATAAAGAGATCTGGATGGTCTTCCTAAATAGACAACACACAAACACACACATACACACACACAAAAATAAAAATAAAATTAAAAAAAATTTTTAAAAGCCTGTTAAACATACTGTTTTGCTGTATCCAACTGGCTATTGAAACAGAGCAAACAGCCCTGGTTCTCAGTCCAGAAATATCATTTGATATATTTTTCTAAGAGCATAAAAGATAAGGGTGAAGTATTACCTTCAACCAACTGTGGTTACATACCAACTAATTCTGCAAACAATGGCAGCCACACCTAGATCTGGACAGGAACAAGAGCTAAAGCCTATACCTGGCTCATCATGACTCTGTAGAAATGAAGAGTTAAGCTAGAGTCTAATAAGCCCCACCCAAACCTCGAGGTCAATAACTTGTCTGATTTTCCAATGTCACTTTAGCTGTTTAAGTGGTAGTTGACTGAGATTATTGCCTTCCGTTGGGGAGTGCCATATGGTTTCCCACATGGAACTATATGATCTAGAGAGTGAAATCCTAGCAACTGGTCTTCAGTTTTAAGAAACTGAGCAGAACTTGGGAGACTAGGTGCCTGTGGTGGCTCCAAATGAACAGCCAAGAGCCTACACATCCATTGATTTATTCACCAAATGTATGGAGTGCACATGTTAGGAAAGGTATTAGACAAGAGCAAGGCAATGTTCTACTTACCCCTTCTCTCAGCTTTGGGATTGATAGGTGACACTGTGGTGGAAAGGGAAGCAATAAGATACTAGAAGTCTGGGGATCTACTAGGTGATATTTGGGGATCATTTGTGGAAAAAGGTTAGAGGAGGGTGACTCTGGGTGAGGTGCTCTGTCATATGTCATTCACTAGGCTCCTGCTGGTAAATCTACAATCCTATGTCATTTTCCAATGCAGTCTGGACAAAGGCCATGTTTCTAGAACCCACCTTATTCTCACACTAATGTCACATTTTTGCCACTATGACCATTACAGTGTCCCAGTGGAGTTTCTGTGATGTCTTAATAAAAATAAGATAAATAGACAGAGCCAGGCAGTTATGAAGAAAAGGGACTTCATGGATGTATGCTTGAGAAGAAGCCTGTCAAAAAGACTGGCAAAACCACATCCTGGCAAAAGGCCACCACAGCTGCATGAAAGTATTAAGTCTTTATGGCTGGCACCTGGCAAAAGTCCAGTCTTGGACTAGTGCCCCTTCTTGCTATGGAGCCTTCAAACCCCAGCTACTAATTTTTGTGGTTAAGGATTTTTGTTTCAGAATGAGCAATAAAGTCCTTATTATGGCTTTAAATTTCCCTATACAGTCTGTGAGTACTCCCATGACACCATATCAGCATACCATCCATGATTAATTAGTAGTTTTTAAAAATAGATTGTTTCTCTTTACTTTACCCATTCTAAGAGAGATTTATATCATTTCCCTAAGTCAAAGAATTATATGACCTATGATAAATTAGAGGTAAGCATGAAAAATATACTACTGTACTTTCTATAAATTAAAAACTATGAAAAATAAAAAATAAATGCAGCAATAATTGACAAAGTTTCTAAAATTGTATACCCAACCACCCACACCATCATGGTAGCCACACTGAGCCCTGGAAGCTTTGGAAGTCTCAGTGAGGCATGCCAGGCAACCTCTGCTGTCCTGAGAGCCAGGCAGAGTCCTGGGAAGCTTCAGGAGTCTCAATGAGCCATGCATGCCTACCTCACCTTGTTTTAGGAGTGACACTGAGACCTGAGGAGCTTTGGGAGCCTCAGTGAACCATGCCTTGCTCCCCCACACCATTGTGGGAGTGACACTGAGTCCCAGGGAAACTTAGGACATTTGTTGACCTGCCAGGAAGGGAGAGATGGCACTCTGCCCCACCTCCACCATCATGGGATGGACACTGAGTCCCTGGAAAACTCAGTGACTTCAGTGAGCTCATCATGAAGTGAGTGATCCTGCCCCCTGCCAACCCATCACAGGAGCAACACTGAGCCCCAGAGAACCTAGGGATCTTTAAAAATGACAAAATGAAGGAACGAAACGAAATCTCAGATCTCCACCTTGCACAGATAAAGTCCGGGAGACATTGACCTAGAAGAGCTTGGAAGTCACACACCTGAAATTTCTAAAGTGATAGCAACTGAAGTAAAGAAACAACTCCATCAGGCCACAGAAGAAGTTAGATCAGAAATAATATATCAGGTTAAAAAAAGAAATAACAAAATTAATAGTAGAATTGTTCAGCACATCTAAAGAAGACATAGATTAAAAAAATAGACAAGCATATAAAAATGGAGGAAACACGGAATGAATAATATAGGAAAGAATTAGAATACATGAAACAGATTCAGAGTTACCAAGGAAATTAAAAATTCCATTGAAGACTGGCAAAACCACTTGAATGAAACTGAAGATAGACTTTCAGGCCATGAGAACAACATTGCAGCTAAAGATCATGAAAAGAAAGATCTCTTAAAAATAATATATAATTAGAAAAAAATAATTCAACAGTTGCAAGATGGTGCAAAAAAACAACATAAAACTGATCACTGTCAGTGAAACAGCAGGAGTCAACAAAATATCATAAAAAGACTATTTTCAGAAGTAATAGCAGATAATTTCCCAAATACAGGAAAAGAATCTGAAACACAGTTAAAAGAGGTATATAGAACTCCAATTAGCCATAACCGAAATAAATCTTCCTCCAGATATATAATATTCAAGATCCAGGAAATTTAGCAAAAGAACAGAATATTAAAAGCTGTTAGAGAAAAACACATCACCTATAAAGGAAAGCCCACCAGAATCATGGCAGATTTCTCAACATAAGCCATCAAGTCAAGAAGAGTTTGGATTGAAGTATTTCAGGTCCTGAAAGAAAATGACTTCCAACTTATATAGATGTACCCTGAAAACTATCCTTCAAAACTAGTAGAGAAATAAAATACTTCTATGACAAAGAACAACTGAAGTAATTCATGACCACCAAATGAACCCTACAAGCAATACTGAAAGATCTTCTAGAAAGAGATAAAAATGACAATTTCAAGAACAATAATAAAAAGCAATCACCAGGTAGAGCAACCAAATAAACAGAGGGTAAAAGAAGAGAACCAACAGCAGGAAAATAACAGGATGAAAATCAGCCAATGCATATCGGTTATAACCATTAAAGTAAATGGTTTCAATTCAGCAATCAAAAGAAGCAGTCTGGAAGAGTGGATCAAGAAACAAAATGCAACAATATGCTGTACGTAAGAAATGCATTTAACTCAAAAGGAAATTCATGGACTGAAAGACAAAGGATGTAAAACAATACTCCACGCAACAGGAACCAAGAAAAAATGAGTGTAGCTATTCTGACCACAGACAATGTGAACTTCAAACCAAGAATGATAAAAGGAGGTAAAGAAGGTCACTACATTCTTGTTAGGGGAAAACTGCAAGAGGAAGAGATATCAATCATAAATATGCATCTAATACAGGAGCACCAAACTATACAAGAGAATTTTTAGCAGATGTGAAAAATCAAATAAGCAGTAACACCATCATACCAGGGAACTTCTTTATTTTAAAGATAAAAGAATGAAAACATATTAATAAGCACATATACATTTAGAAAATAACACAAAAACAATACAAGCAATACAGAATTTCAGACAAGGTGATAGGAAATGAAAAATGGTTGTTATATTACATTATCCCATTGTCACAAAAAAATAGATCAACTGGACAAAAAATTAGCAAAAAGTTAACAGAACTAACTTGTGAACAAATGGACTTATTAGACCTTTGCAGAGTGTTCCATGCAACAATATCAGAATACACATTCTTCTCAGCTGCACATGCAATGTTTGCTAAAATAGACCATATACTAGCCCATAGAACATGCTTAAATAAGTGCAAATGAATTGAAATTATCCCATGCATACTGTTGGACAATACTGTAAAGCAACTGGAAATTAATGACAAAAGAAATTGCAAAAGCTCCATAACCACATGGATTTTAAATAGCACCCTCTGAGCAACCTATTGGTCACAGATGAAATTAAAAAGAAATTAAACAATATTTACAATCCTACGAAAATGCAAATACAATTTAGAGGAACCTGTGGGATACAAGGAAAGCAGTTCTCAGAGGGAAATTTATAGCAGTAAATTCCCACATCAGGAAAACAGACTGAGCACAAATAAAAAATCTTATCCTGCATCTCAAGCTTCTAGAAGAAGAAGAGTAAGTCAAGCCTAAAGCCCAAAGAAGGCAGGAAATTGTAAAGACCAGAGCAGAAATTAATGCAATAGCAACTAAGAAAACAATAGAAAGTATTAATGAATCAAAGAGTTGGTTTTTTGAAAGAACAAATAAAACTGATAAACCCATAGCCAACCTTATCAAAACAGGAAAGAAAAAACTCAAATTCATGCAATAAGGAATGAAAGAGATGAAATCACTACAAATCCTGTAGAAATTCAGAAGATCATTAATATCTATTTTGAAAATATTTACTCTCATAGGATGAAAGGTACACAGCAAATGGATGCATTTCTATGCTCTGGAACCAGAGCATCTGGAACCAGAAGAGACCTAGAATAGCAAAAGCATTTCTAGATAAATATGAATTACCAAACTGAGTCAAAAATATCTAAAAATCCTGAATAACTCAATATCAACCAACAAAACTGAAAATGTAAAACAAAAATACTTACCAACAAAGAAAAGCCCAAGTCCTGATAGATTCACGGCTAAATTCTACCAGAAGTTTAGAGAAGATTAAATGCCAATTCTTCTCAAACTTTTTTAATGAAATTCAGAGAGAATGAATTTTCCCTAACTTAAACCTGGAGGCTAGTATTACCCTGATACCAAACCAGAGAAAGACCCAACTAAAAAAGAAAACTACAGGACCATCCCTCTAATGAATATTAATACAAAAATTCTCAATAAAATACTAGCAAACACACTGCAGAAAATCATCATGAAGATTATATATCACAACCAAGTGGGATTAACCCAGAAATGCGAGGATGGTCCATTATATGAAAATCAGTTAGTGTAGTACACCATATCAGTAGAGTCAAAGACAAAAATCACATGATCATCTCAACAGATGCAGAAAAAGCTTTTGATAAAGTACAACTCTCATTCATGCTAAAAGAAATCCTACAGAAAATCAGAAGAGATGGTCTTTACCTTACTCTGATAAAAACCCATTTATGACAAACCAATGGCCAACATCATACCAAATGGACAAAGACTGAAAACTTTCAGTTTGAAATCAGCAACAAGTCAAGGATGTCCACTGTCACCACTCCAGTTCAGTATAGTTCTGGAAGTATTAGCCAGAGAAATTAGACAAGAGATAAAAATAAAAGGAATAAAGATAGGAAAGGAAGAAGTAAAAATATTTATTATTTCTATATGACATGATACTCTACATAGAAAACCCAAAACCTCCAGCAAAGACCTATAGATTTAATTACCAAATTTAGTAGCATAGCTGGATACAAAGTCAATACTCAAAAATCAATAGCATTCCTCTACACAAACAACAAATGCACTGAGAGAAATTAGGGAAACCATACCTTTTACAATAGCATACAAAAAATGAAATACTTAGGAATCAGTTTAACAAAGGAAGTAAAAGAGCTATACAGTGAAAATTACAGGGCTCTGAAAAAGAGACCAAAGAGGATTTCAGAAAATAGAAAGTTATTCCTTGCTCATGGATAGGAAGAATTGAAATTCTGAAAATGGCCATACTCCCAAAATTGTTGTACAGATTCAATGCAATCCCAATTAAAATACCATTAGTATACCTCACAGATCTAGAGAAAACATTGCTAAAATTCATCTGGAACCAGAAGAGACCTAGAATAGCAAAAGCAATCTTGGGTAACAAAGTAAAGGCAGGAAGGATCACAACCCCTGACTTGAAATTATTCTACAAAGCTTCTGTGATAAAATCAGTATAGTACTGGCAAAAGACAGACCTGAGGATCAATGGAATGGATGACAAGACGTAGACAGAACTACAAACACATTCAACCACTTTGTCTTTGATAAAGGGGCCAAACATGTTCACTGGAGGAAAGATAGCCTCTTTAATAAATGGTACTGGCAAAACTGACATTCCACATCCTGAAGACTAAAACTAGACACATGTCTAACTCCATGCACTAAACTAAAGTCAAAATGGATCAGAGATCTAAGTATTAAAACAGAAACACTCAACCTACTTGAAGAGAAATTAGGTAGAAATCTTGAAGACAGAGAGGCAGGCAGAGATTTCATGAATAAAAACCAAACTGCACAGGAAATACTTCAAAGGATCAACAACTGGAATCTCACCTTACTGAAAAGTTTTTGCACATCAAAAGAATTTACCAACAGGGTAAATAGAAAACTCATGAATTGTGAAAAAATTGTAGCCAACTGTCCCTTAGACAAAGGACTTCTATCTAGAACATATAAAGAATTTTTAAAAATCAAGCACCCAAAATTCTAAGACCCTATCCAAAAGTGGGCCTCTGAGATGAACACACATTTCTCGGATGAAGAAATACAAACGGCAAATAAATACATGAAAAAATGTTCAACATTATTGGTCATTCAAGAAATGCATATCATAACAACACTGAGATTCCATCTCACCCCAGAAAGAATGGCTGTCATCAAGAAATCAACCAGTATCAAATACTGGAGAGGCTGTGCGGGAAAAGGAACACTTCTCCACTGCTGGTGGGAGTATAGACTGGTGAAATCATTGTGAACATCAGTATGGAGATTCCTCACAAAA